GAAAAAAAAGGGGGGGGGGGAACCCCGGGGGGGGAAAAAACAAAAAAAGGCTTTTTTTCATTGGTTATTGTTTGGCCGAAAACCCCGGGGGCCTTTCCCCACCGGGGGTTTTTTTTCCCCCCCCCCCCCCCCCCCCCACATTCACACTTCCCTTTGTTATGTTCTTTGGGCTGAATGGCGTGATGAGACCAGCGCCGGCCCTCTGCTGTTGGGAGCAATTTCCCTTCACAATTGCGTCACCCCGCTCTGCACTCTTGCTACTTTAAATGTGTTTTCTCTTATGTTTGTCGCGCGTTATGTCTTGTTGTGTCCCCGTGCCCCTGCACCAGACGCCTCCATCGTGTCGAGCGCCGTGGCTTACATCTCCTTCTACCTGCTTGGGTGGAGTCCCATGTTCTGGACGGCAGGGTGAGCTGCTGCTGTTGTTGCTGCTGCTGCTGCTGTCGTTGTTGTTTTGTGCTTTTTTTGTGGTACGCATGCTTTTTCTCGAAACTGATTTCATCCATCCTTTCCTTATGGTCCCCAACTCCCAATTCTGATCCAAGTCACTGCTGTGGTGGCCCCCGTGTAGCGAGACCGGCAGAGTCAAGAGGGAATACGGTCGCTGCACAGACCATGTGGTTAGACCGGGGGGTGGTTGTCGCCAACCCGGGCCCACCTATGTACGCGATATGCACCAACAGAGACAGCGGCGCGTTCCCATTTTGTCGGAGTCGGAGCCCCCTTTGCTTCCTTCTGCCCGTATGTCTTGTCCAACCACACCAAACAAGGGAGTGTATTAAACACACCTAGCAAGAATACGCATGGAAGCTCCTCCCGGATTTTCGCTGGTTCTTTTCGTTCAGGGCACGCGAGAGCGGTTGACACATAAATCCCAGCGAACCCCGCCCCCGCCCCCCCCCCCTCCCACTACCATTTTCGGACCCCTCGTGTGTATCTCTTTCTGTCCATATGTTTATGTTTATCATGCTGCTGCGATGTCCCTGTGTACCTCTTTTCAGTCCATGTTTTATATATTTGCGATGGCGCCCTCCCCTGATAACTCCCTGTGGACCTCTTTCTGTTCTCTGCCATGTTCGAACCCCCTGTGTGTGCCTCTTTCCGTCGATATTTTTATATTTGTTATGCTGCTGCGATGTCCCTTTGTACCTCTTTCTGTTCTCTGCCATGTTCGAACTCCCTGTGTTTGCCTCTTTCTGTCGATATTTTTATATTTATTATGCTGCTGCGATGTCCCTGTGTACCTCTTTCTGTTCTCTGCCATGTTCGAACTCCCTGTGTCTGCCTCTTTCTGTCCATATTAAATATATTTCGCGATGGCGCCCCTCCCCTGATTACTCCTTTTGTGTACCTCTTTCTGTCGGTATTTGATTTCTCAAGGTACACGATGGTGGCGGGAAAGCCGCAGCCGGCAGCGCCCGTCTCGGACGCCGACCAGCAGCACTTCGAGACACTGAGCCCCCTCCGCAAGGTGAGAGAGAGAGAGAGAGAGAGAGATAGAGAGAGAGAGGCCTCGCAGTTGGGCACGCCAACGAGGAGGGGGAGGGGGGGGTGTACTCATAGCCGTCCAGTAGTGCGTTAGACCATTGACCTGGCATCCCTGCAGAGCCGGGACGGAGCACGCCGGGTTCTCACCGGACCAGGCTCTCACATCATCCA